TTGGCCGTTTTTCGTGGATTAAAAGTTCCCGAAGTGACGAGAACATGAGGTGAACGTCAATGGAAGGGGGAGGGGACGCACCAGCAGAGCATTCTGGGATGTGTTGTAACAGCGGGCGTTATAAACCAACGAGTCAGCTCTAATGGACACTAGATGTCATTTGAGGGCCTGAGTTTGACACCACTCCAAACATCTTACAGGTTCCTCCTGCGGGTCCGGAGGTGTTTCCAGGCCAGATGAGGTATTTAACACCTCCACAGAGTCTGGATCTCCTGATTACTGGAGTAAAAAACCCCAAAGAAGCTGTTCTGATCAGATTAGTCAAACACCTCAAATGGTTTATTTTGATGAGGAGGAGCAGCGACTCGTTTATGGATGAGAGAAGTTCCCAACATCTGATGCTTCCCAGGTGACCTAAAGGAATCTAACTCTGGCTTCACCATCCTTCAACAACTGGCTGCACTGATTGGATCAACGCCTCGACTGTGGTCCTTCTGCACCTGGATTTTAAACCAACATGGCGGCTCATTCGGAAACTTTTATGACAAAACCAGCTCAATGGAGCGCGTTTCTGGAAACGTCTGAGGTCATTTCAGATCAACAACAGTTTGATGGTTTTCTAGACCTCCAGAGTGGCGACTGGACGCCTCAAACTCAACAGACTCCAATGAGGAGCAGGAAGTAAGATGACCAGTCTCTAGAATACCCAGAATGCATTGCACAGGTGTTTCAATGGATGGGAAGCTTTGGCATGACAGATGCAGTGGGCACCATAAGTTGGAAGGAATAAAAAACAACACCAACATCAGATCAGCTGATTATCAGTCGACTGTCTGATTTTCCGGAAGCGAGTTATCAAACTCTTCTCCTTCAGTCCGGTGACAACGAGCAGAGAACCTTATTAAACCTGGCAGACGTTACTGAGAACGTCCTCGGTTCTCTGCAGCTTAAATTCCTCTCCGCCGACACTGAAGCGGCGCCGAGTGAATCATTGCTGTCAGTATTCGTCAATCACCGCCACGCGCAGCAGAAAGTCCATCAGCGGAGCCCGAAGACGAGATACGAGTTTGATGTTTTCTGGCTTTAATCTCAGAGGCGCTGCTAATTAAAGAGCTCCACCAAACACATGGAGAGACTTTGGGGCATCAAACGACGCTTCCAAGTTGTACGGTCTGCTCCATCAAATGTGGACTTCAGAGGCTACAATCTCCAGAACAGAAGCTGGAAGCAGCCGCCTGATGAATCGGCTTGTTGGAGGTTTCTGTCTGAACGATTCGGCCAACAGAAGCAGCAGCAGGGAAACAGAGCAGCTGCAGAGGTTGGCTCTGGTTTCCTGGAGGGACAATCAGGAGCTCTCCGGGCCACAGAGCCGCCGGCTGATCGGGTTTATTGATCCCGAGACTGGAGGACGTAAAAGGAGCTGCAGCTGCTGCTAATGGTCAGAGCGAGCTGCTGCAGTCTGAGGCAGGATGTTACAGAGAACAAGCAAAGCGAACATGAAATTAACCAAAAAATAAATGAAATCAAACACTATTAACAGCATTTTACCGGAAAAATTTGCTGTCACAAAAAAACAAAACAAGCCAAAACTGTAAATAATGTGTTTGTTCTTTTACATGTGTGACGACAACATTACTGCATTTAAATCTACTAAAACTATAATTATTTCAATTACAATCTACATTTAATGAGGACGGAAAAATGTTAAATAATTTAACTGTTAACGTTACATATTCTTCTAGTTAAATTACAGATAAAATCTTGCAAAATCACATAAAAAGTATTAATTTACATGTTGAATGTAAATAATGTCACATCAAAAATCTGTCTTTTTTTTTTTAAAAATTTGCTCTTTTACAATGAAATCACAGTTTTAGTTTATTCAAACCTGCAAATATATTATTTTATAGATATTTGCTGTTATGTCAAAGAAAAGTATGTTAAGGACTGAGAATGGTTCAGGAAACAAACATGAAGAAAATCTAAAGCACTTTATTGAACCATATTTTATTTCTAGGAAATTAGCATTGCAGTTCATTTTCCTACATTTTAATTTCATTTCAGTCTTTCCATTCATGACAGAATCAGTGCAACTCCACTGCCATGTGCAATAATGTTATTTTTTTTAAAATTAGTATTTATATATATATACATTTTTTTTGTTTTAACTAAAATATTTGTATAGCATTTCCTAAATATTTTGCTCCGTCTTTGCTGCTGGAACAATGCCAATTCCCCCCTGTGGGATTAATAAAAGCTTATCTCCTCCTATTTTACTTCATTTTACGTCGTTTCAGTTCTTTTCACTGTATTTCAGGTTGTTTTTAGAGGTCTGGGTGAGACCTCTAAAAACAACTTCTAGTGACGGTTCCGTGTGTCGGTGAAAACAAAACTTCCTGAACCCGTTTGGAAACTAAAAAGGAAACTTATCTCAACAGAGTCGACGCCCGAGCAGCCAGAGAGGTGAAGCATGAGGTTGAACCAGTCCTGCTAACGGGATCCATCCAGGAGGTCCGTCTGGGTCCAGGAAGTTCTGGTTCCGGATCTAAACTTTCATACATTAAACCTGGAGCCAAAATGACCAGAAACTGGATTTAAATCTCCTTTTTACAGCTCTAGCTCCACTCTAGTGTCCTCCATGCTGCTTCTGCTAGCAGCTCACAGGTGACTTATGACATCACTTCCTGTCCAGGTAGGGGAAAAAAAGGGGCTGTTCTGTCTGTTTTCTTAACATTCTGCTAAATAATCTAAAGAAAGCAGCAAAGTAAAGCTACACAAAAGAGGGGTATTTTAATGCAAACACCTTTTAAACTTTGATGCACAGAGACGAGTTTTTAGGATTTAAAGTGGAGCTTTAAGACGCAGTTTGATGGGAATCCATGTCAGCGTTTCACCTCGGAGGATTTCTCGGTTCCTAAAAACGCATCTGGGAGGCTGCTGGAGGACGACCAGCTGCGTCCTCACTCACTTGTTCGCGGAAACCTTTTTGACAGTCGTGACATAAAAGAGGAAACACAAACAGGAAAACACAAAGCGTGTCGGGAGCCGGACGGACACGCGTGTGCACAGAATATTTAAATATCACACACAGCTGTAGAAACACCATCACAGCTCTGTTTTCTGCCGCCTTCTTTGCAGTTCTTGACGGAATCAGATTTAATTTGTTCTGGCTTCGATTAGGCTAATTAATAAGTAAAATAGCTTGGTTTTTTTTGTTTTGTTTTTTTAAGTGCCATGTGTTTGGACTCATATAATTAGATGATTTTCATTTTATTCTGCTTTTGCTTGATGTATTTATTTATTCTATCTATTAACTGTATTTTCCCTGCTTGTGTTGGTGAATAGCCCAGGACAAATTACCCACGCCCGGGATGATAAAGTTGTGCAATCTTGAATCACACAGTTTTCTCTGATATCTCTGAATTTTCTTCTTCTCAGACATTGCTGAGTCATGCTTTAGTTTGAAAAAGCTGTTTACATTTTACAGTTTATGCACAAAATAACTGAGACTCAAAAAAGTTTCTGGCTTTGGCAGTTTCAAAACCAAGTTTTAACTGAATTTTCTCAGATTTTCTTCACGTCTGTCCTCTTTATTCGCATATTACTTTGTGATTCTTTTGTGTGTTGACAGAAAATAAAACTCTCGTCGCTTTCTGCTGCGTCGTGAATTAAATTAGAAATACATTTATATTGCTGTCTGTCGTGAACACACTTCTGTTCGTCTGACAGAACCGTAACACAACAGCAGACGTGATGCACAAACGTCTGTCATATTTAATTAACGCAGATTTAAAACGGCGTCTCTGAGGCGACGACGTCTCGTTTTGTTGAACGTCTGCTGCATCGCCGGCTTCACTCGCGTCTCAGGTGGAAGGAAACAAGACTTGAGGAGACGAGGAATCCGGGAACTGAGAAGCGTTTGCTTGATGGGGAAAAACAGGCTTCCTTGTTTGTATTACTTTAAACCAATCACAGTCATTGTGGGCGGAGCTAAGCCCAGGCTGCAGCAACAGTGTCCCCTCAAATTAAACACGTCAATAAAAACTGCTTTATTTCAAAATCCAAACCTTTGCAGACTTTCAGCGTTTAGCTTGCTGCTCCGAGGTCGTTGTCGTGTCCAACAGTGAACAGTAACGAGTCCGACTCTTGTCACGTAGACAAATATTACTTAAACAACCTGATCGGAGTTAATGTTAAAATCAATAATAACTGGGAGGAAAAAAAAAAGCACACAACAGCCATGAGTTCTATTTTCACATCAAACTCTATTCTGGTTTGGCGTTAGCATAGCTCACTAGCTCATGTCACTGATGTCATCAACAGAGGATTTAATTTGTAAAGATTTCCCATCACGTTATATTCTTTAATATTTAGAGTCAGTCCAACATCAAGTTCTTATGTATCTCACACCTTAAGTGCATTAAAGTTTTTCAAGTCAAGCCAGATGTTTAGGATTAACAAATGATTTATTAAAAATAAAAACAACTCACAGTGATCCCAGGAGTCCTCGGATGCGTTAACACTGTAGGATCCTTAAGTTATATTTTAATTAGTCGGGTTCATCTCCATCATTAATAACACTGAAGGAGCTCAACCTTATTACAGTCAGGTAGTATTTTAGGATTTTTTAGGGTCTAAATCCTTCTCATCATCAATAACATCTTAATACTTGAACTTTTTTCATTAAATCTATTTTTTAAATTGAATTACTTTTTCCAAATATCAAAAACTTTTCCAGAATCACACTCATTGGCCAAAACCGGCCTGAAATCACCTGTGAGGACGTTTTTAATGAAGCTCTTTGGTTTAAATCAGTTAACAGAAGTGTGATTTTATACTGGTCTGTGTTTCCAAGCTTCAGCTCGGACCGGTCGAGGAGGTTCTGCTGAATGCTGCTGCAGGTTTAATCCTCTGGTTCCTGCCTTCAGACGGATCAGCTGCCAGATTCATGTTTCATGAGATTAAACGTGTTTCACCGAAGAACAGCCACCAAGCACACGAACCGAAGCAGATTTTCTTTTTTAATCAGAAATCATTGGCTTACAAAACTGACAATCGATGATTAGGTGGACGCTGCGACCTCCTGATTGAAAAGCTGCGAGAGAAAATAGAAGCTCTGTGGACAGTTGGAGGGTGAGCGTGGGCGGACGGTCTGTGTCTGTTTGTGGACCTGCCCGGTGGCAGATCTGCTGCCGTAGTGTCGTTCAAACCATCTGCGGCCTCGCTGCGTGTCATCGCCATGGCGACTCATAAATGGCCGTCACAGCTACTTGGTTTCGAGCTCCTGGCGTCCGTCTGTCCGTCCTCTGTTGGCTGCAGCTGATCAGTGTCTGTTTGCTGCTTTCGCTGTGCCGCCGACGATCACGGCGTCTTGTTCAGAACCTCCACCGTCTTCCGTCCGTAGTGCCAGTAGCTGTAGCCGGAGGCGGCCGTCGTCACCGCGGTGACGTACCTGCAGCACAACACAGCTTTAATCAGGCTCTGATTGTTGTTTAAAGCAGCTTCTTTTGGCTCATTTTTCACAAGATAAAGTCCTGCAGCTCAGAGGAAACATTAAACTAGAGAAAATGTGGAAAAATCAAAAAGAAATGTGCATGAAATGTGTTTATAAAGCTTCAAAAACAGGTTATGAAGCAGATTTGATCCATTTTTTCTTTAAATGGACCAACATCTAAACCGCTAGCTGTTTGGATCAAAGTTAAAAATGAAGACGATGTAAATTTTTAACTCTCTGAACTCCGAGCAGCAGTTTCTGGATGTTTCTTTGCTTCCAGTCCTGAACCTTTATGGAACCACAAAAACCAAGAGAGAACTCAGAAACGTCTTCTGTGCTGAATGACAAAACTATAAGGCCATAAATCACCGAAAAATAACAAACACAACTTGAAATTCTTTGGTCGTTTGATGCTATTGTGCTGAAAGTGGGTCGATGGGCAGAAAGCATCTGACGTATGAAGCTAAAATTTCACAATAATCTCAATAAATGTTGTAAATTTTATGCTATACAAATTTCAGCGAAATCAAAAAACGGCAGAGAAAAAATTCAAAAGATGTATCGACACTTCTGTATCATAAAAACCTGCTTTAATCTTGTTTTCAGCTGAATGTTTTGGACTCTGCTTTAAGTCTGGGACCTGCCCTTCCACTACTCGCTCCTGCAGCGTCAGCGTTTGGACTCGTGAGATCCTTGGATTCAGATTTGAGATCCTTTAACACCATCATCTGTTTCCCTCTGGTGCAGTTTGGGTTTAAAATATACTTTTGCACCAAACACACCAGATGCTGCCACCGTGACATCTGTTGATCATGTTGTTGTTTGTTTTTTGAGATTTTAAAATAAACGGTTTTACAGATTTTACATCCGAGGTGCCGACATGTCCAACAGATGTTCACGTTCTCGGAGCGCTCTGCGGTTTCCACCAGCAGGCGGGTGTCGAGGGTCAAAAGGGTAATTATGACTCTGAGGGTTATTTTAATGAAATACCAGAGAACGAGGCGTGTCGCCGTGTCAGTCAGTTCAACAGGCGGCTGAAGTGCTTCGGCATTAAAATGTGGGTTAATGTGGCCCAATTAAATGTTTGTCCAGAGTCTGAGTCAACACACTTCAACCTGAACGAGCATCACTCAGACGAAAGCATTCGTTTATTTTCTTTTTTTTCCTGAAAAGAAGAAGGACGTGTTTTGTGTTTTACCATAAGCACTGCAGCAGGACGCTGTCTGTGTACTGGAAGACCGGAGCAGCCAGAGAAGCTGCGACCAGAAAGAGCTGGATGGCTGTGTTCACCTGAAGAAGACATAAAACCAGTTAGAAGAGAAACACGGAACATGTTCACAAACTTCTGGCAGATAAATTCACTCCTGCTCCTGACAGTCGGCGTCATCTTTCTGAGAAATTATCAAAATAAAAACGCACAGAACAAGATGAGAAAAACTACCGTAAACTCTGAGCCGCTACTTTTTATTCACACACTTTGAACACTGCGGCTTAAACAACGATGCGGCTGATTCATGGATTTTTACGAGTTTTACTAATTTGCCTCGAGACCAAAGTGACAAAACTGGTTTTCTTTTTAAAGTTAGTGGGTGCGGCTCATGTTCAGGTGCCACAATAGTTCAGAATTTACGGTATATTTGAGTAGAGTTTAATTTTCAGGGCGAAGCTACTCGATGAGTCAGAATTTAAAAGAATAAATGTCCCAGATTGGACTTTGGTTCTGAATTCCTTTGCGTGAACAAAAGTTTAAACGTTTCCAGACTGCAGTGAAGATTTGAAGATGCCTCCCATATGTTGTGGATGTTAAATCGGTTTTGAATCACTTGTGCACGATTGTGGAAGTAAATCCATCTGAGTAAGTACAGATGACATTTTGAATTAATTTTAATTATCTTATTTTATTTAATTGTCCTGTATTTGGACCCTGTTTTTTTTTTCTTTCACCAATACGAGGTGCGAGAAACATTCTTTTAATTCCTCTGTATGTCCTGGAAATATAAAGAAACAGACAATAAAAAGCTTCTATTCTATTCTAAAAAAAAAAAAAAAAGGCGTTTTTGGTTAATTAACTCCGAACTCTAAGAAGATTCTGGGTTTATTTAACTTTTTTTGTTTTGTTTTGTTTTACTGAAACATAAAGTCCTGCAGCTGCACAGAAGGAGAGAGAACTCAGGATGACAGAAACCAGAAAATGTTTAATCTTTCATTTGTTTGCTCCGGCCTGCAGTTCAGTTGAAAACCATCAGAATTTTTGCAGCGTACCTTCTGGGTCACAGTCGAGTCAGTCGTGGCTTCATGGTTGCACCAAAGATGGCAGAATTTTTTTGTTTTTACAGAATCTGACTCCTGCAAACGGTTTGTTTCTGGTGAATTTTTAAACGAGACACGTAGAATAAAATGATTTTGAAAAAATATCGCAATCTAGGTTTAGATTATGTTTATTTTTTTAAAATCACGGGACGTTGAAAAAGCAACAGTTCTACTTGTGTTTATGGTTTCTGGCTGATAAACTGTGTAGCACACACCTGCTGGTGGGTTTCAGGGTTCAGAGGGTTCATTTCTTTAGTCATGAGCATTAAAAGTGAGATCAATAAACTGTGACAGTTTCAGAAATAACGCAGCAAAAATGAGCACAAAACGTACAAACGAGTGAGTTTTAATGAGGCACTGATTAACATTTTTAGATTTAATCTTTCAAAATCTGTTTGAGGACTATTTTTTATTTATTGTGAAACATATTTATTCCCATCCTGAACACAGGAGTTTATTTAAAGCTAAATATCAGAGTTTTACAGCAGGAAGTTTCTGTGGTAACATTTTATCACGAACTTTAATAAACTATGTGAACTGATCCGTGCAGAGGAACAGATCGGGAGCTGTGAGAACCTTTCAGTGCTGTTAAATCTGCACTCGAGCCCGGTAACGTAGTAAATGTGAGTCCGTGGGCGTTGAACGCTCCTCACCTTGCTGAAGAGTGTAGGCTTGAGCTGAGCGGTGGTGTAGCAGGGGTTGAAGAACTTACTGAGGGTCACCTGCACAAAACAAGAACCAGGTTTTAAAAAGGTACATCCTAAAAACTAGAGCAGCACAGAAATACAGAATAATACCAGGTTATTGGTAGCAGTGGTTCTTCTGGGTGCTGGAAGATGTTTTACATTTAGTCACACAGGACGGATGTTTACTGTTGGGAACGTAATCAGTCTCACCGGTGGAGGAACAGTCTTGTATCGGACCCAGAAGACGGCAGCGATCAGACCGATGTCTCTGAAAATCACCAGCGCCGTCAGTGGAGCTGAAACACAGAACGACGGTTATTAATGTTTCATATCATCTTAAAGGTCAGACCTGCTGCTCTGAACAACATG